AAGATATTTAAATGAATACACATTCCGTGGGGAGATTTAGCTGAATATGGTGGAATACATATATATAGCCTATTTGCTTGCTATTCATCCATTTTGCAATCAGTTGCGCACATTCCTTTCCTTCGTAGAACATTTTGCTTATGCATTCAACCAGCTTTGCATGTCATGTTGCTTTGGCGTATTTACGAATTACGACAGTTTGAGAACTCATTTTGAAAATGCTAGTTCACCGATGTTGGTTTATTTGCCCAGCTGGAGAGTTAGTGATAAATTGAGAATTAAAGTGTGAGTTTTATCACCCACTCAACTAGTGATGAAACATTTACGGTTTAATTGCCCAACTCAGTGATCAAGCCAACAGCAACAGCATGAAAACGAGGTTCGAGGACGAACACCATTTTCTCCGAAACAGCTAAGTTGTGATACGCCTTCCTACTTTCTGTTTTATCCTCACCTACAATCCCAAGAACAGAATCAACAAACTGAACGTGGTATAAATTCTGTCCAATTTACACCTGTTATATTGTAGTGTCTTTTATTCGTTGGGCTAACCCCTGTTGCTGTAAAATACTGTTATTATGGATCCTATTGAATCGTTGTATACGAAGTCATTGTATCATATAAGAAGAGTGAATGAACAGCTGGTGTGCAATCTGTATCGTCTTCCATTCTCTTTCCCGAAGAGGTAGTAACTGTCCACAGATTCATTCTCAAATTCGCAACCTGAGTACCGGTGCATTTCTTTTGTGAGAACTAATTGAATGGAGAGTCATCTAATAATATAATGGACTAATGGTGTAGTTGTTGAATTACTGGTGCTAATAGATGCCAATTCAACTCTTTTCTGCTATTGATCCAATGTTCAGTCGCAGTTGCGAACCAACACACGACTAGCTTATGAGAATTGGTGATTGCTTCAATGTACCTGTTATTCACGTAGCTGCTTACTGCAGTGAAACTCCGATAAAATTAGTTTCTGTGTTGTTCCATTTTTGAACTAAGTAGCCTATCCAGTGTGACTAAAATCGCTGTGGTAGGACTCAGTTTGACCGACCGGGAGTGGGTGCTAGTAGTTTCACTCCATTATATACCATTATATCAATATAATGT